ACACATTATATTACATTTAATCGATCCTAAGTTAATTTGCACTCTCTTAATATATAGTTCATACAAGTATTAACAAATTCCATGCAAATATATATTTGTGACTTTTTTCCTGTGACTTTTTTCCTGTGACTTTTTTCCTGTGACTTTTTTTCGGTTTTTTTTCCTGGTTTTTTTTCCTGTGACTTTTTTCCTACAATCCGATCAGCACCCCACCCCCACAAAACCCCCAATAAATCTACTAATCTACTTCTAAGGTAACAGAGAAGCCGAGGATTCATTTATGTAATGTATGACCCACTAGGCCCAAAAGGCAGAAGATGAGACAGGAATTAATCCAACTGCTCTTTCCCTAAAATTTCTCATCTCCATAAAACCACTTTGTGAACTTTTTACTTTCTCGTATATACGAAGTATAGAGAAAGTCTTGTAATCGTGCAAAAAAAAAAAAAAAATCGAGATTTTTTCAATTCTCAACGTTTTAGTGCTCCATGAGTCGGAAAAACATAGTGTTGCAATCTTATCTGTATGTGTGTGTGTCTGTGTGTGTAAACACGATAACTTGAGTACCGTTACAGCTAGGTTGATGAAATTTCATATATATTTTATCAAAATCGTAGATCCGTAACAACTTTTGAGCGATTTCCAATATCCGGAAGTGGAACTTTTTCTACTTTGAATTTTTCAAAAAGCTCTTTTTTCTACGAGATTCTATTCAATTTTAAAAACTTTAAAGTAATTAAAAAAAGATTAAAAATCATGTCTAAATCCCGAGTTGCCATCCCCCGTAGTGTTATATAAGAAGATTCGAGAGAGTTTAGGGAAACTTCACTTTGTAGTAAACCAAATGAGTTTTTCAAGCCCATTCTTTGTTCCAGTATCAAAGCATTGATTGCTGTACATTTTAACACAATTTTTATAACTATGGGTAGAATAATTTTATTTTGGTGATTTTTTTTCCACGGTGATTGTTGATGCCAAAACAAAATGTCCGACATTTGTCCGGTTTTACCATGCTATAAAGTTATGATCAATATCATAATGGTTTTATTTGTTAGATAATAACTAAATCTACATGAATACATTAAGGTTGTGCACTAGCTTGCATGTTCAGAAAAGTTATAACAGATATTATTATCTGGCTTTTATTGCCCTCGGTGCAAGTTTCTCATTTATTAGACCACTGAATATGACACTGGTATAGGAATAGTTAATACAAAATGTATTAATTGTTAAACACAGTTGTGTCTAAGTGATAGAAATACAACCTTCTAAAAAGCAAAATTTCAGACATCTGATGTTAGCCAGGTAATTTTTTAAATGGTGCACATACTTATTACACATAAGGGGCAATACAACCGACTCAACCCCCACCTGTTTCTAATCAACCATAAAACTTCTAATCTCTTTGTAAGTAACAGGGATAACTATTCTTAGATTTCAGCCAATCTGGGGTGGTATGTTATGTAATTTATGACCCACATGGTCAAGTAGGGACGTGATCTGACACATTAATACCACTGCTACCCCCCTCACAATTTCTTACCTCCATGATAACCATCCCCCACCTGTTTCTAGCCCACCATAAAACTTCATCTCTTTGTAGGTAACATGGATTATAGTTCTTAGATCTCAGCTAATCTGGGGTGGCATGTTATGTAATATATAACCACCACGGTCCAGTAGGGAAGTGACACATTAATACCACTGCTCCCCCTCACAATTTCTCACCCCCAAGATACATAGCCACCACCTGTATCTAACCCACCATAAAACTTCATCTCTTTGTAGTTAACATGGACTTAGTCCTTAGATCTCAGCCAACCAGAGATAGCATCTCTTATGTAATTTATGTCCCTCAGGGTCCAGCAAGGAGAACAAAGGGGAAAGCAGTACCACTGCTCTCCCCTCAACATTTCTCACCTCCATGTCATGTTATGTAATGTATAGCACACATAGCTAATCAGGGGAAAGAATCAAGGCAGATTAGCTAGTACCTACTCTTTTTACATCAAAGAATCTTAACTCTGGACAGCTACACACTAGTATACTAGCTACACACTAGGTGTACTAATATGCCTACTGTAAAGTACTAAACTGTAGGCCCTATGTAGACCTGCAATTGTATCAATTGTGGAGGGGTCCAATGGGGCCTAGTGATAGCTGGTATTATTTAATGTGTATGTACACAGCATTAACTAGTTTGGGGTTAGAGATTAATTATTGTTATTGTGGAGTTAGACTAAACTAGGAGATAACACTTAATGCCCCGTGGTCCGGCTACATTTGCCCCAAATGCTGATTTTGGGGTATGGCTTTAAATGCTAAATTAAACCAATTTAAAGTAAATTTGATAGCCTTAATTATTGATTGTATATTGAGTAAGATGTGTTAGAATAATTTTGCATTAATTTCAATATTATAAAATACTTGGATTAGTAAAAATCTTTAAAAATGTACAGATGCTAAAAAGTGTGGCTAGTACTAGTAGTAGTGCCCTTCTTTACCCTACATAATATTAGTCTCTTTCCATCCTAAAATTCTAGACTCCTCTGTCCTATTTTCAGTTGATTGTAAATTAAAAATCAAATAAAAATGCTTAAAAACATATCTAGGCATGTATTTTACGAATGATATATCTTAAACAAACAAATAAATGTTTAACTGTTAAATTCGATGTAAAGTTGACTACCCAAGATGACCTATTTTTAACTATTTAGGAATTTCTCTGACATTTTTTATTTTGTACTTCTACTTCTACCGAATATATTCTATTTATTTAATACTGTTGGAAAGCCAGATTTAATTCCAACAATAAGCAGTAGTTTGTATCTAATTCTTAATTAGTTTCATTTAGACAAAAACGAATATTTTGTGAAAGTGTTCAGAGTTATGCTGCTTAAATTGGGACGTCAAGGGTGGTGTTTTGGTAGAATGAATGGAGGCGAGCGAGTTGACGAGATTCCTTCCATAATGTTGTTGTCATGGAATAAAAACGTGCTTTTTAGATTTAGACCGTAAAAAAAAATAAAAAATAAAAACTTAAGCCTAAAATTAATTTAGAAATTTTATATTTTTAGAATAAATGCTATAAAAGTTGCAAATCCAGAGAACTTGAAAATAATTTGTTGAGTTTAAGGCTACATTTCTATTTATTTTCATCAACCCTAGGTTAAAACCGGATGTTTCACTTTCGTAAGACAAATATTGATTGGCTGTACAGTAACTTAGTGATCGATAACTATTTGTTTACAAAACTTTGCAGATCAAGTTTTTAAATAAATATGCAAATTAAAAACCCCATGACCTAGTTTTCTATTTTTAGCTTACAATGTGTACAATAAAATCAATGTCGGCCTATCCAATAGCAGGATGCCATTGTTTATGTCGCCATTACACGTGAAAACCAAATTGTTTTGGCTTGTTTTTAAATTTTCAATTAGTTACCGAAAATTTTTAAAACATCAAATAGAACCAATCTTTAGTAAAGTCCGAAATAAACCAGACAGACAGGATTTTATAACCATATTAATTGTAACTACGCCGTGCCTGATTTTTAAACTAATTTATACACCTCTCAAATACCTTTGAGAGTTTTCTCGCTCGTGTCCATTGGTCATTAATGTAGTGCATATATATATATATATATATATATATATATATATATATATATATATATATATATATATATATATATATATAATATAATATAATATAAGCGGGCTGAGCGTGTGTCAGTCCTTCTGTCATCGCTATAGATTTTGAAACCATAAAAGTATACATCGCACCATACTGTGCTTTTCAGTGCACCGCAGTGTCTTATTATAAGTAATAGAGTAGGGTTTGTTTATATAACGGCATAGAGCTATTTTATAATAACCACCGTTTTTACTTTTTAACGTAAAGAAAATATTAAATACACGCACATTGCTAAAACACATTAAAAAGATCAATGTCAAATATCATTTTCGTTTATATTCCTAGAAAAAATGGATACATTTTCGTAAAAGTAGTCGAAAACACTAATTAATTCAACTTTTTTTGTTGTAATTTTTGCAAGGGAGGTAATTTGAAAATATATTTAACTCATCAATAATTTGTTTTTATTACTACCGCATTGATTATTATATTTTAAGGTTCATAATTAAAAGAGAAAAATGTTAAGATTATTAATATTATTTATTATTTTTTAATTAGTCTATGATTTCTAAAAAATCACTATCTGTTTGCTTTTGTTTTTCGGTGTTATGAAAACAGATGTTGAAATTAGACTTTTTGAGAATAATGGAAAGGCTCACGGGGAAAACGTGTTTTTAATATTCAACTCACTCTCAATAATTTAAGTTAATTTTTTTATTAACTACCTCATTGATTATTATATGTTAAGGTTCATAAGTAAAATAGAAAAATGTTAAGATTATTTACATTATTTTCTAATTAGACTATGATCTCTCAAAATCACTATTTTTGGTTTTTGTTCTTCGGTGTTAACAGATGGTGAAAATTTAGAATTATAGTATAGAGAATGCTGGAAAGGCTCTCTCTGGGCGCGGACGCCTAGGAAAAGCGTGTTGTTCGGTGGTGATTCTATTGTTGTGGTTGTGTTGTGTTTGTGCTGTGTTTTTTTTTTGTTCTGTTCCAAAGTTGGTACATTTAAAAAAGATTTACCGTGGCGGAGCACGGGATGCAGCTAGTATATATATATATATATATATATATATATATATATATATATATATATATATATATATATATATTCTAGCCATTTTCTCTCCTCTTACACCAGAAACCTAGTTACGCCAATGATATTTTGATATCTATTGTGGAACTAGTTTACTATGAAGACAGATTGATGTACCTGTAAATAATATAGGCCTACTTCTCTATCTCGCGCATCAGAATTTCACATTGAAATAAAGTAACACATAGTACTAAACATATTTTACAATGACAATATGAAAAGTAAAATTAAATAAATAAAAAAAACAACATAAAACAGGACAAAGATTTAAGTCGAAAATATTTATTATTTTTTTTAATTAAAAAAAAGTAAATTTACAAAATAAATATAGTGTAAATTTAAAGTTCGTCAAGAACGAACCATTAATGCTTCATAAACAATTACAATACTGTTTAAAACTTAAAGTATAGAAATAACAACTTTGTCATGAACACCTTGCAATAGAAGTTCACCTTCATAACTGATAATCTTTTTTCTTTTAGCCGCTCGCAATGTCCCAACAAGAGCTTCAAAAATATTTGCACATTTTTCGTCATTAAAAAGGGTTCCAAAGGTAACTTGAACTTTACCATCGGCACCTTGATAGGAAAAACAAAGAAGGATTCTATTTGGTATGTCAAATTGTTTATAAAACTGTCCCACAGCAATTTACTGTGTTAAGAACTCAAGATTCTAAGATATTGGATATTAAATTAGTTCATTTATCTCAAGTTGTAAAAAACGTTCCATGTTTGAGGAGTTAGATCTATATCGGTAAAAGTATATGAAATAAAATCAATCTGTTGAATTCAACACAAACACACAGAGAACAAATCGATTTTTTTTCAAATATCAAAAGTAAAAAATTTATTAAATAAATTGCATTGAAAATGGCCTCTCGTTTTAAATAAAATCAATATACCGGAAGTGATCTTCCCCTAAACTTTCTAGAATCTATATATATGAATCTCTTCATGGGAACCATGCGAGACACCACCACGCAAACGCACGATTGTAGGAAAAAAAGTCACAGGAAAAAAGTCACAAATATATATTTGCATGGATTTTGTTAATACTTTTATGAATTATATATTCAGAACGTGCATATTAACTTAGGATTAATTAAATGTAATGTGTGTAGGTTGTATTCGCATGGTAATTTTTTTATAATTCAGCTAAATATATTTAGTATGAAGTATGTAGATTGTAATTATGTTAAACATAAAATTAATAGCGTTTATTAGAATGTTCCAAGTTCATCTGACTTGCTGCCCTCAACTCATCGCAACAATAGTTATGATTAGTTCAACCACCTTTACTTTCCACATTTATCACGCTCATTACATAACAAAGCATAGGATCAAAACAGAAAGCCGACAAAGTTCAAAGGCGGTCATTGACACCAAACGCCAACAACACACAATATGTTCGGACAAGGCCGACTGAGGAGGGGCGACCAGAGAATAGCCTACGGCAAAACAAATGCAAAACACAATGATGTGCCTAATTTTTTTCTATAATTAGCTTTTCAACCGCGTATTTAACTAAATACGTAGCAAAAGTTGAGATTGTTGTGTAAATTATCTTAGAGTTAGAGTATTTTTACTTAAAATTGTTATAAACCATAATGCTTTTAACTCTATAAATAATATATGCTATAAAAATACAACCCACAACAATAAACATACAAACAAAAATTAATTTTAAACAAATAAATCAAAATATATCTGAAAATATTTTTGTGACTTTTTTCTGTGACTTTATTTCTGTGACTTTTTTTCCGATAAAATTTTTCCATTGTGACTTTTTTTCTGTAACTTTTTTCCTAGCAAAAACTGTGACTTTTGTCTGTGTTTTTTTTTTCCTGTGTTTTTTTCCGTTCACCAAACGCACACCGCTACTCCCCCGCTCTATAGGCGTAAAGCTACCACCACCACCACCCCCACCCCGATTCTGGTGGGGGGGGGGGGGTGGAAGTACTGAAAAGTAGAAAATAAATAGCGGCGTATGATACTTATTCTGATATAACACTACGGGGGATGGCAACTCGGGATATAGAGATGATTTTTAATCCATTTTTAATTACTTTAAAGTTTTAAAAATTGAATAGAATCTAGTAGAAAAAAGAATTGCGCACTAAGTGAGCGGCGAACAGTATCTGTAAAATAGTGCGGAATATTATTAGTACTTTATAAATTCATATTAGTTTTTTAAGGAACCGGGAATAGCGTACATTACTACTTCCGTTCAACGGAAATTACTCAAAATGTGAAAGAAGACAGAGAATTAGATCTTTTACTTACACGTGAAATTTTATTTATTTATCTGAAAAAGTACTCAAGTTATAGGCTTTTGAAAAATTGAAAGTAGAATAAGTTCCACTTCCGATTACCGGAAATCCCTGAAAAGTTGATACAGAACTACAAATTTGAAATAATACTTATCTATATATATAATTCTCTTCATGGGGACCATACGAGACACCAAGCAGCTTAGCCACCACCCTCATCCCCACCTGTCAGGTCAGCTATGGTTCACCCCGAATGTTTACAATAGTAGGGCCGGTTCGAATAAGTGACAACTATTAGGGGCAGATAATTTAGTTTTAAAACGATTTTAAACTAAGAGGAGATAATAAGTTCTGCTTGATATTTTCACTGTCGTCTGTAAACGACTGCTTTCGCGGGGCGGGGTGGGGGGTGGAGGTAGGGGAGTGGTGGAGACGGGGGGGGGGGGAGTGTCGAATTCACAAATTATGAATTGTTGATAAGCAGAAAATAAAACAACTAGATAGCGGCGTATGCTACGTCGCGGGTCAGCTCGTATATGAAATTTCATCAACCTAGCTGTAACGGTACTCAAGTAATCGTGTTCACAGACATACATACACACACAGACATACGGACAGAATTGCAAAGCCCATTTTGTTTCGACTCGATTACGCATAGAACGCCGAAATTTTGATAGATCTGCATTTATTACTTTAGCCTGATTAAAATAAGTCCCCCATACTCCGTATATGATGAAGTACTGAGAAGTAAAACGGCGAGAACTGTAAACAAGTCTTGTGATTTTTCTTCTGAAACTGCCACTGGAGGTCTTTGATGATCTCGCATGCAAATGACGTGGGGAACTAAGCTCTTGCTTCAGCCATGAAGGCCTTGCAATGCTGAAAGTGCGTCAAGCTGTTGCCCTGTACTTGTTCCAAAAACATGGAACAGCCATCCAGCGACTCATCCATTGCAATTGAAAAATTTCGAAACTTTTCACTATTTGAGTCACAATGTTTTCATCTATTTCTGCAACATGGAGGGCAATGGTATTTGCACCCAAAGCTACATTTTCAAATTGTTTTGAATTTTTTGGGCAAAGTTCCTCAGCCACTTTTAACAAACATTTTTTTCCATGAACAAAAAGATCTCCGCGGGCTCTCTCTCTCTCTCTCTCTCTCTCTCTTGATCTATATATTTAAAGAAAATAATTTACATTCTAGTTTTTAGAGCATTATTACATAAAAGCTTGTTTTAAAAACATTTTAATAAATATTTAAGAAACCAATAAAAGTTTAGCGAGTGTAGGACGAAAGGCCGACATCCAAAAGACCGACAAGACAAAAGGCCGACAGGACATAAGGCAGACAGCCAAAAGGCCGACATGACATAAGGCCGAAAGCCATAAGGCAGACAGCCAAAAGGCCGACAGACCATAAGGCTCACAAACCATAAGGCCGACAAGCATAAAAATACTAATATCGCAAAATATGTGTTACTGCATAGCTCCTATCTTGACGACCATCAAAATAAGGCTAAACGTTCAAGAGAAGAGGCGATGCTAGTTGATATCATTATAAGGTGAAAAATCGGGTCCAAGCGACTGAAGATTACGGGAGTGTCTTAAACACAAAGGATCAACACCTAAATATTGCGAAATGCGGTCAATACCCCCGAACGAAATGGAATTTATATAGAAAATATATACTTTTAACAGCGTACGCCCCCTTCCCCCTGGAGGAAAAAGTCTGGAAGAAAGAGACACTGGAGTTGACGGGAGTGTACAGAGGAGTGTACCACCATATTTCGTAAAGAAATCAGACACCGAATGAAGTAGAAGTTTCACGTGCTTTGACTGGACTACTCCATGTTAAATACCTACAAACTTTGAATTATATTTTTGTTTCGTCCATTGCGAATTGTGTGAAAAAAAAGTGTATACTATATTCGTTGGATTCATTAATTCTGTTGTGACTGTGATACAAGTGTGCCAAAATTTGTAAGTTATTATTTTTTTTTGTTAAAAAAAAACAAAATACAAGTACGCCTACATGTTGTATAATATACCTTTATCATTCTGTAACTGGTTTTCAATAAAAATTAAAAATGTCTATAATTGAAGTTTGTTGTTTTATAAAACTTGTCGGCCTTTTGTCCGGATCCCCAGTTTAACAGCAGATCCTTAATGTTTCCTTTAATGATTATGTTTGCTTTATACATTATTGTTTGCATTATTGTTTGCGATTACGCTTGCGATTGCGTGTGTTTGCGTGTAAGTTTGTGTTTATGCACTAAAGCTAACCCTAACTTTATCATTAAAACTTTTAATGTAAGGAATAGGGTCAATTTGAAATCGACTGCAGATGGGTGGAGGTGGGGGAGGAAAGAGAAGGTAATGTCCTTCTCCAGTGTTTTGGTAGGGGTGTATTAAATTAAGGTGGGCAGTATTCATAGTGTGAAACGGAATTTCGGTTGTTGGAGAGGGGGTTATTTACCGAGATAATTTCATGTTCCCACATCTACATACAACATTGACACAAAAACAGAATAACTACTTTTTAATAATTACTTGATTTTTGCTCAATTATAATGGCCCTGTGACATTTCTAATTAGTTATTTAAAAAACGATATCACCCCTGAAAGGGGTGGTGGTCAATATCGATTTATGATAGCGTGAAGATGGTATAAGAAACATATGGATCATCTCAATTACACCATGTACATTTCCCTGCCCATAAAACAGCAGTAGACATGATCCAACATGTTTATTATCCCTTCTCTCATATAGAGAAATAGATACAGATAGGGAAAGGATAAATAATGGATAAATCAGGGGATCATCAATAAGGATGATCAAAATAAGGATAATGATAGCGATACGCATAGTATGGTACAGTAAACCCGGAAGCAACATGTATTTTTGATGCATCTATATTCACAGACACTTAGATGAAATGATTATATGGTAGATATACCCTGGTCAACGTCATATATTCAAATTCAAGTATTTATATATAAATATAGATTTAATCTAGAATAGTTAAATATTACCCTCGGTTCCTAAGCGATTTATTTCACCAACAAGAAGCTGAATTTCATGTTCCACATTCATTTTAACTCTGAGGAAAGAAAAAAAAAGTCAACAAAATATATTGTTATTCTCAAGTCACAAGGGGCTTTATCACTATTATAGTACAAAGCAGAACTCTGTGCACAGAATGTAAGACTACTCACTGTAAAATAAAATTTTAAACCACACACCCGTACAACTGCAGTAATAGCTTAAATATTTTTAAAAAAAGGAGAATAACCCAAATGGGTTCTGAACCCTGGCTAAAGAATGTATCCCCTACAAACTGCCCCTCACGTCCAAACCAGGCGGTAAGATGCAAGGGAATAAGAAAAGGCGGTAAAGAAACATGCCTAACAGGGTCTTAGGTGCTTTGACCACATGTGCTTTGACCATAGGGGGTTTGACCACAGCTGAGGTTTGACCACAGACGGGCTTTGACCACAGCGGGGCTTTGACCACAGAGGGGGGTTAACCATAATTTATAGATTTAAAAATATAAATTAGAAACTGTTATTTGATTTAAATTTATGATACAAATCATACGATATAATACATGTTTCCCGAGAGTCACTTAATTGAAATTAAGATGTATTTAAAAAAAGTCAATAACGATATTTTAGTCTCCACATAAAGGCTGGTGCTAGGCCTCATAGATTTATTTTAAATATAAATGAAACAAAAATAATGAGACATAAGAAGTTTAAAAAATAAATAATGTAGATGTACCGGAAAATACATAGCATAGATTAACGATAAAAAGCATGCCAACACTATTGTCAAAGAAGTGATACTTGTATGGTTAACTAAATGACAGATGTGCTTTAGCACGCAAATATGTCAGTACATCTGTTTGACCACATGTGAGTACATCTGACCATATGTCAGTACATCTATTTGACCGTATGTCTGAACAGCACACTGTAATTTTTCGTGCAGCATTCTGTATAGCTTCTCAGCTGGGTAGCTTGCTCCTGCAACACCTTGCAAGAAAGTTGTTTTTTTGACGTGTGCAGTCCATATGTAGACCTTCAAGGAAACGTCACATTGCTGGGCGACTAGATTGGAGGAGAGACTGAAGACTAATGCCATTCTTCACAAATGTTATTTGTTCGTGCTACACCATCGGCAATCGTGTGTAATTGATTCCAATTTTCCCACGTTTTCTTTAACTTGCTTTCGTCTCTGTTTGTTTGTCTTTCCAATCAAATCTTGCGATCGAAATTTCTGGCACTTCCCAGTTAGCTAGCGCGCTGAAATTTTCAGGGAAGCTTTGTTTTGGATGACATTAGAATATTCAATTGTTATTATTACTAAATTGATCCATGGAAACATTTTATTGAGCATTTTAGACCGCTATATAATCTATATATATATAATTCTCCTCTGCGAGCCATTAGAAAACAAGCTGCAAGCGCCTCCTTACAGTCCCCTCTCTTTCTCTCTATCACTATCACTACCACCCTACCCCACCCCCACATGGTCTGCTGAGCTGTGGTCACGTTATTGTTTACAAACCGTACAGCCAGGTTTAGTGACGGCTATTAGGGGCAGATAATTTAGTTTGAACCGACTTTAAACTTACAGGAGGTAACTAAGAGGAGGCTGCTTTCACGAGGGGGGGGGGGTGTAGGGTCGGGGTTAGGGGAAAGGAGGGGGGTTAGTGTTTTAAAGCAAATATTTTCAGTGGCAGCATTGGTACTGTCGAATTCACAAATTATGAATTACTGAAAAGTAGAAAATAAATCAACTAAATAGCGGCGTATGATACGCCGCGGGTCGGCTCGTTGTAGTAAAAACGTGGGGAAAAAGGGACATAACCCAGTAACTGTAATTTGTGTACAAACAACCATAACAACTGGTGGCCAGTATGGGGGAGACGATATGGTCGAGTGGTTGGGCACACGATTGCTATCCCACTCGACACGGGTTCAAATCTATGTGTTCTAGTCAGTAACGTATTCACACAACGTGTTTTTACGAGTTGTCTTTTTACGAGTTGTCTTTTTACGAGTTGTCTTCGTTTACCCAAAAAAAGTGAAAAGATAAAATCGATAGCAAGATTTTAATGCAATCAAACAGACAAAGACTAAAAAGTAGAAAATAATAATCATTAAAAAAGTTTTAAAAAACCCACGTTTTCTGATTGAACTAAAAAGTAGAAAATAAATGCTATACATCACAATAATGCAAGCGATCACTCTACTATAAGCGATCAAAAACGTGGGGCGCCGTGATTTTCTTACAGTTTCTAATACTGTTGACTCTCTACAAGCTCCCTAATAAAAGTCAATAGTATTATCTAATCAATAGTAATATAACTTTTACTTCGGCGCCCCACGTTTTTCATCGCTTATAGTAGAGTGATCGCTTGCATTATTGTGATGTATAGCATTTATTTTCTACTTTTTAGTTCAATCAGAAAACGTGGGTTTTTTTTAACTTTTTAAATGATTATTATTTTAAATTAATCGCACCATACATGGACAAAGCGCTTGTTATCAAACGCCCTCATTGGACAAACCACCTGTGATCAAATACCCTCTGCTGAGAAAACACCTGTGGCCAAACCCTCTATGGTCAAAGCTCCGTGATGGTCAAAGCCCCTACGGTCAAAGCCCCGCTGTGGTAAAACCACCTATGGTCAAACCCCCTATGGTCAAAGCACCTGTGGTCAAAGGTCCGCGCACCAAAAATTAAATGGTTTACAGTAACTGTTTACTTAACTAAAAAAAACACTACCGGATAATTTCCACAACTATACTGGCACGAGCTTTCAATCCCCCCCCCCCTCCATATATAAAGTTCAAGTCTGTCAGCAAACCGCGGCTTCCAAAGATATATAAGAAATTGATCTATTATTATCGTCATCATCGTGTAATTCGTCTAACGTGCTTATCGTCTAAATTAATGATTAAAAAATTAATACTGAAGTGTTGTAAAACAATTTTCATTTTTTCAAACTTAAAGCAATAATTGTCAGCATGTCTATCAAACAAATTTTTTTAAAATGTATCACCTTTCACAAAAATTCTAATTTTGTTTGAAAATTATTTAAATTTAGTCATTTAGCACTCACTACGTCCGTTGATAAATTAGGAAAACAAAATTACTTTCCTTTATAAAAAACATTACATCGGGGGGGGGGGGGGGGAATGTATATACATAATTAGCACGCATTGATCAAGTGCAATGTAGTAGGTATTTAAAATACTGCCTTTTATTTATTTTATACACTGAACGTACTGTTTACTAATTTTTTAAAAAATCATGGTGCGATTTAGCGCCCCGGGCTAGAATGTGAGCACTTTGCGTTTATGTTTATGTTTGCGTTTTCTTTGTGTTTGGGTTGGGTTTGCGGTTAGGTTTGTGTTTGCTCTTGGATTTAGTTTGTTTTCGTTTGCTTTTTTGTTTGCGTGTTGGGTTTGTGTTTTCGTTTGTGGGTTTTTTGTTTTGTTTTGGTTTTGGTTGGTTGTAGTTAGGGTGGGCAATGCCCATGACACACATGTCATGGTTCTTTACAGATAGGTTTTTCACATAGACCAGTGCAGGGCCTGGCCGTCTAGTATAAAATATAAATCAAGATCTAAGACCTAGATCCACCTAGTAAAAGTCCTAGTTACTTCATAATAGTAAGTTCTTCATAATAGTATCTACTATATCTCGATCTAGTTACAACTTAAAACAAGACTGAGCAGTAATTGTAATATATAGAATCTACTATATAGATCTAGAAATTAGCGTGTTAGTCTTGATTTTATTGTATTTTTCTCCCTACATATTATTTAAGGCATAATTTAAATCTACAATTCAATTGCAAATATTAAAAACCGTTCAGAAGCTAGACTGTCCACATTATCTGTTAGTATAGTAGATTAAGTATAATTGTAAATATTGTAAGTTAACTAGGAAACTGAAATGAGTGCCAAAGGGAGACAATCGCTTTTCCTGATATTTTTTCAATTCGATTTATTACTTTTATTTAATTTTTTTAAGGGGTGGGAGGGGGGGGGGACACGACAACGACGACGACAAACTTTGACAAAAACGGGATGGCGGAACAAGAAACGATTTTTTTGTAAAAACAAAAAAAAAAAAAAAAAAAAAAAAAAAAAAAAAAAAAAAAGCGTAACAATCATGTGTCGAAAAAAAATTCCCACGTAGGAACCTCTTCATAACTCCTGAGGTAGTAGACCGACCTTCGGGGGTGGCAAAAAAAACTGATATATTCGGGAAAATTCCGGTAGGCCTTTAGAAGTGACCGGTCCGAATTAACATTGTTAATTTGGTGAAAACGACGACTTTGTTTTTCAAAACAATGTTTTGGAACTTTGGCTCTGTACATCTGGCTCATTTTTTCCATAAACACGGGTAAATGAATCGGCCTTATGGATAAACTATCGGTCAGCCTCTGCTCGCACGGCAATGGCCAAAAAGTGACTGACCACGAGTGAAATTCTCCTGATATGAGCTGTATATTGAAAAGCATTTCCCATGTAGGAACCCTTTAAAAACTCTAGATGTACATCGGCCCCAGGGGTTCAGGAAAAAAAATGGTGCTACCCCCGGAACAATGTTTTAACAGACCAGGGACCATATTTCCTTATATAAACATAGTAACGTTTTAGTAAAAAAAAAAATACAAATATCTGGACGTACAAACCCATTCATAACTCCTGAGGTCGTAGAAATACCCGCGGGATCACTATAAACTAGGCGTTATCTTCGGGAAAACTTCGGAAGGGCTTTAGAACTGACTCGTCCGAATTCCCTATATAAACATTGTTAACGAGAACAATGGCCCGTTGAGAAAGGATACAACGGGCGCTAGGTTGGTAGTGCTGTCTATTTTCTCTAAACTAAAACCACCACCCCCACACACACACCCCAAAACATGTCTACCGTCCAATTCAATGAAATATAATTATATACTTTTTCCAGGGTCCGCCACCTCCCCGAAAATTCTACCCCCGCGCCCGAAAATTTCAAGTACCCCCACCCCTCTCCGGGGAGGAAAAAGTCTGAAAGAAACACTGGTCGCATTTGTAG